TCCATTTAAGTCTTAACACTTTTAAATGTTTCTTCTGAAGTGATATGGTGCCTTTCCCTGACTCCATTAGTAAAATTGCCATAACAGTTTTATGTTGTGTAGAAACACGGTGCGGTCATGATGCCCACGGCTTACGCGGTTTGTCACTAATAACTGACGTCTGTAACAGCCTGTAACGAAACCAAATTTAGTCAAATCTGAAGACAAGTTGTCTTAGTTGTATCCTCGCCAAGTCTGAAACATATACACTCATCCATTGGAAGATTATTTATTTAATCAAAGCAGTATATAGGCAGGTGACAGAACAATAGATATGTAAAAGAATGAAAAAAGCAAAAATAAAAAGAGCTGAATTTCAATTTGTATAGCTCTCTTGACTTGTACAAGTGTGGGACGTAATATTTTACTCAAGTTTGTGGGGTGCAGGAGAGGACTTTAGTTTTTAAGAGTTTCACTCCAGAGCTCTCCGAGCGGCAGGTTCTGTGCTTTGTTGATGGCATTGAGGCTGTGGGCTGTGATGTCTTTGTGAACATTTTCAATATTCTGTGCTGCATCGATCACCTGAGGAAGAAAATTTTGATAATTAGAACAAATCGGCGACTTTAGTCTTTTTCCAGATAGTTTAACGTTAATAAGATGCAACGAAGAGACTGTGGAGGTGCTTTCACACAGGAGGCAGCATTGGACACCGCTGCCACAGTTCAGCAAATATAAACTTGGACTGCCCTAAAGTAGAAAGAAGACATCCAGCAGACAGAGTGGAAAAGTTCATATCAGAACCACAGGAGGAAAAGACTTCCTTGGGAACGGGTTTCCATCCAAATAGATGCAGCTGTGGAGTTTAATGGTGGTGAAGCTTTACTCTGCAGCTCTTATGAAACAGCTCGCTGATTCTAGTAGTGAGCACAGCTCTGTGCATGATACATCCTGTGTGAAAGCCCCATAAGAGAACCTCAGACTGCTTTCATAACTTTGTAAAAATGAAAACTATCCAAGAATTCACATTCTGAATTCTTATTTCTAGAACAATAAATAACACTAGACCCAAGATAAAGTAAGGGGAACGCATACTCTCATTGTTCACAGTATTTATTCATTTCAGTCTCATTGCAGTGCAAGTCAAGCTCTATACTGCTCTCACCAACACCTGTCAGTGTGGAGTGGACCTGATGAACACAGGTGAAGTAAAATAACCCAGGAGGTGGTAACATGATACATTACTGTATGTGATGGCACAGACTGATCAGGAAAGGGAAGCCAGTGCAACTATAAAGACATGAAGAAAAGCTGTTGGTGTCGCAGGCATGAAATAGAGTTTAGGTGGTGCTTTGCAGCTTGCATCCCCGTTTTAAACATCCTGTCGGAATAAATCTTCCATTCAGGCTTCCCTCATACCTGCCAGTTTACTGTCTGATCCTTCATCAGCTGTTCAAACCGCTGTTGCACTGTTCTTTGGAAGACGCTCGTCTCGTATCTCTCTTGCCCAAACTGTCCTCTGAGAGCAGCCTCGGCCGGGTTCAGCTGCAGAAACATTACGAGGTCTGGCTTTGGCAGTCCCACATCAGGCTGCATGCACCAGTCCAGGCGGAAGCCCTGAAGAAGACAAAAAACCTCCATCTGTCACGCTCGACTGCATGTTGCAATACCGAACTGATGGATGGAGTTTGATAAGCAGAATAAATGCACTTACCGGCTTAGCGCTGGTGAAAGCAACTCCAGAGAAAGCATACCTGTCTACAACCAGATTGATGCCTTGCTCCAGCTTCTTCTTCATTAAAGGCCTGTGGGTTAGAATCTGTTAGGCTGTGAAAAGACTTAAAGGAAATGAAACATAAATGTCAGCACATTTGATACAACCAGCAGTGTTTGCTGTTGTGTTTGCCACTCAGTCCATTTGCACTTAAAAAAACTGGAGAAGGAACCAATGCAAATAAAAATAAAAATAGCGTGAAACTGAACTCACCACTATGCACTTTTAAGGACCTGTGATTTATAACATTCATAGCATGAAGTAAAAAAAAAAAATGAACATGGCTTATCTAATTGTACTAAACTTGCTGTAAAAAAATAAATCAGCTGATTCTGAGGTGGGAAGCACTAACTGATTTTGTCATAGAATGATTTTACTTTTTAGGAAACCTTAAAAATGTGATACTGATTTAGGAAATATTTAGTTGTGCATCAATAAACAGCTAGTCCTTTCAGCCATAAGGCTCAAAGCCTGTGTTACAGGGTCTCAAACCATTTTAATTCACGTGCCACAGGCAGCCCAGTTTGATCTCAAGAGGACCAAACTGCTACAATTATCTGCAAACCATGACTTTTCTTTTAGTAAGTGTACATTATTAAAAAAATCACACGTAATAAGCTATTGTTTCATAAAATTCCCAATGAACTTTCTGGGGTGTCCTATAAAAACTAACATCTGAGTTTTTTCTACACAAAAAAAAAAAAATGCTACTGAAATAAATTAAACAAAGCCATCAATACAAATCACTGGGTTTCTGCTTTGTTAGCGTTTTGCTCAGAATTTGTCCCTTCATTTTTTAAAAAGAAAGACAAGATCAGAAACCTTTGCTCCCTCTTCATCCACCCGTTTGTCTGCTTTAGGTTTTACACCTGACATTAAAACACTCGTCCAGCTGCTGATCACACTGTTGGGTTGTATTAACCTGGTGTCTCCAGTTGAGCCGGACCATTAGTGTTTAGGCACATATGCAGGTGTTACATTCTGTAAAATGCATTATATATGATTAAAATAATTTAACTGCAATAAGTATACACCTTTCATATAAATATATTCTATAACTTCACTATTTTCTTTAGCCCACATAATTATATATTTCAGTTACATAAAACATGTGAATTTTGATTTTATGTAGTGTATAGCCTATATAATAAAAATTAATGTAGCCCAATAACTATAAAATCCAGAAAGCTACAGAACATGGGGCGGTTCATTTACAATCACAAGTCTAACTTACGTTTCACAGTCATTTTTATATCAGAAATAATCAGATTGTTTTGTGCTTAAATGTAAACAAAATGCCATAAATCTGCACTGTCATGAACACATTTATCCCCAAACATTTAAACCTAATATTTCATGTTTTATTAGGTTAACCCTCTGGGGTCCAGGGTATAACTGCCATTTTTGACTACAGCTTGATGGGGGGTTTTTTGTTGGTTTTTTTTGCCTTGCTTAGTTTGGTATCATTATTTTCAGCACAACCTCACATGTCTGAATTTACAGTTATTTTTTCATTGCTATAGTGTAATAATACATGTGATCTGAAATCACAAAA